TGATTTTATTTAGTGTTGAAGCCGAACAATTTCCTTCAACATCAAGTAAGCTTTGAACAAGTTTTATACACAGACTCGACTTATGATTTTTCAGTCTCAAATATTTCGCTGCAAATTTGTTTACTGTGTTCCTCACCAAATCTTTGTTTTTCTTTTTAATAGTGTTTGTGAATGACTATCAGAGTTCGCCATTTAACAATAGCGCGATTCCAAAACAAAAACAAAAGACTGCAAAGGATCTCGGATGGAAATGGGCCTTTAAGTTGCCAATAAAAAGAAAGTGAATTCTTTCGACGACTAAGTTACAGTTAGTTGCATCTCCCGGCTAAGTCTATACTTGTGGGTTGATTACGTGACCATAATATACGCGGCATTACCAGGAGTCGTCATTAAACCTCTTTGACCTGTGCTCTACTCGTGTACAGTCGAAGCTCTCTCAAGCAGACATCCTCGAGGAGTGAAAAAAAGTGTCCGTAAAAAGTCTCAGCTCACAAGAATGGGAAAATACAGAGTTTGTATGGGAGTTTAACAAAACGGGGTTTTGACTAGGTGGCCGTAAGTAGAGCTGTCGACTTACGAGTGTCCGTTAATATTTATTCAGCCAGGCCACAGGCAGCCCAAGCTCACTGCTAGAAAAGCGGACGTGACTCTTACCGTGTTGCGCAACGTTTTATATTCATAAAGGTTTAAATGGGATGTTCGGTTTGCCTTAAAAGAGAGAAAAAAATGTCTTGTTTTGAAATAAAATGGGCCTACCTTCTTGTTTTCTTTGTTGATTCGTTTTCGGCGAGTTAGCGTTATGTTGGTGTTCAACTGCTAAAAGAAAGACGTCTTTCTATATATGAATCGAACATTGATGAACCGAGTATCGATGAGCCGAAGTATATTCGAAGTAGAGTAGCCGAATTATGGATTATAACGTACGTAAACGTGATCGGCAGATGCCTTATAAGTGTAATTATTGGAAGTAGAAGTTGGTTTGAGTAAATATACGAAATGTGTTGTTGAATGTGATCCATGTGGGACATGAAAAGATGTTGTCAGTTGTCATGTCTGCGCATGCTCGAGAACTTTACGCATGCGTATGAGAGAAAAGTGGTCATTTTAAAGCTTGATATAGGATTTAAATAATTTTATTATTATTTATTTTTTTTTTCTTGTCTTCTTTTCTTCCGCCGCCCGCTCCGGAAAAAGAAAACGCAGCCTCCGGCTGCGTCTGTGTGATAGAAAAGTAAAAAAGATTGGAAAGGAATCACTGATATCAATTACCAGTAACCCCTTTCCAATACTTAAATGATAAATATTGGATATTTATATGTGGAAAAAAAGAAAAAAAAAAGTGGTGCGACCAGGATTCGAACCTGGGTTATTTGGAGGGAAAAAAGAGATTGGTCCCTATATTACGCATTTGGGAATCGCGGGCTCGATTAGCCATGCTAGATCTCCCCGAATAAGATATGAAAAATAAATCTATTAATAGGTACGCCCACACGTATGATTGATACAAGAAATTACAGAAAAGATTGCTTTACTTAGAATTGAATGAACATATAGGTAAGACGATATGTTGGAGTAAATTAGTCGTGTGAAAGAGTTGATAGCGTGAACACCATGGCAAATAAGACGAGAGCTGGGCGAGTACGTCCATGGACAGCGTCTCAAGACTTGGTTGGTATGATGAACGATATCCGCGTTGCAGCAAATGCGAGAGAATTGGAGTCTAATTTAGATTCGATCGATAAAATGATAGTGATGCGTGAACCAAACACACCAGAATTTACTCAAGCTCAAAGAGAAGTGGTACTAGCGTTTAAAAAATATGTGTAGCAGTTAAAAGACACAAAAGAACCATCATCTGTCAAGAATTAGAAGCGTAGGGTAAAAGCGTTGGGTATGTTAGAAGAGTTGCTGTCCACCGTGGCAGACCATGCTTCCTATTACGAGTTGTGGAAGTTAGAAGCAAGAACCCCAAATTCCATTTTCTTGCCTTCACGCTTTGATTTACCGGAGGAGAAAAAATTCAGGTCTGCATACAATTTTGTCCTTCAAGCGTTTTTACAATTCGTGCGTCATTGTAAAAAGTTTCCACCATCTAGAAGTTACGATTCTCCAGTCTATTCTTCTTCGGATGAAACGGACGAGGAGGACAGGGACGAGGTATTTCATGACGCACAAAACCCACGTGTCACAGAGTGAATGACAGTCATTTAGAAGTAACAGTCACGATGAACACTTACGTCGAGTACAATCCCAAATTGGCTTGTATGATGTTGGACGATATGTCAGGAATATTAAGCGATACACCAGATTTAAACGATCTATCGAGAAATGCAAGTGATGCGGAAGACTATATCAAAATTACGGAAAAGCAGATGGAAGACGAATTGGATAAAAGATACTTGGAAGTCATGAACGCATTTTTAGATTACGTGCAAGAATGTGGACGCGAAGAACGAGAGCATGAAGAAGCAGAACTAAATTGTGTAAGAGAAGAAATCCAACAAGAAACTGCACACAAGACACCCAAGGCAATACCACCTACTACTCCGTTGGAACCTTTTCCAGAACATTTAATTCGAATGACTTTAGCCGATAAAGTTTAAACGTGATGAGAATTGTAAGTAAAAATGATCCAAGTGATAAAAATGGAAAGAATGAAGGTGT